CCTCAAGACCTGCAGATGCGGGTGGCCACAAAATCTCTCTTAATGGGGGTCTTGTCTCTAAGACTGTAATATGCTAAGCATTGGCATAGAGAAGCAAGGATTTTGTTCTTCAAATCCCTAAGCAAAAATTGTTTTCTCCAGTTTATGGATTCATTTTTCTACTCAGTTATTTTGTACTTCATCCATATAAACCTTTTTCACTAATTTAAATGCATGATAGACACAGTTTCAATAACTCATTTTTGTACGTTTCTTCACAAAAGTCAGGCAGGATAACATTTCCCTGGAGAAGGTATATAAGAAGTCAATAAAATATGTGTAATGCAGTTGCATCAGTCAAATACACACAATTGCTGAGCTGTTCAAATGCACACTCATTTCATGTATTTATGTTTTCATTCTTAAAGAAAACAAAAAGAACTCAAACGTTACTATTTTTATGCAAAGGAGACACATTCATTCTCATCCTTTTAAATTAATGTTCACCATCCTTAAATGTAAATTAATAATTTACAACTCTATAATTATATTCAAATCACTGAGGGAAAGGAAGAGATACCTCTGTTTTTCTTCCAGTTCATTATAACACTAGCTGTTATAATCATGACAGATGTTACACTTCGACTATCACTATTGTTCCAATGTCCCTGGCTAAATTTGCAGAAAAGTTGAAATAATAGAAATAATAGGGTGTAAATTTCGCCGTTCATTTCAGTTATGCATTAAGTGAAATGCCAGTTAAAAATTAGCTTTAAAAATTAGTACTGATAATTATGGGAAGGATGTATCTTATAGTTTCTTCCAAAGTAAATCTAATTGCAGGAGGTCTGTGTGGATAAAATGAAGAACCATGCTAAGCATGTAGAAGACTTATATGTTAAAGCTTTTAAGAACATATTGCAGGATCTGTTGGGGAGATCATAACTGGTTTTATTACATCCATTTAGCTTGAAGACAGACCCAGCTTTCGTCAGTTTGGCAAATGCTCTGTCAGGTAATGTGTAAAAAGACTATGAGGTCATGAACCGTTGACAAAATACGGTTTTTCCATTTGTAAGGTAGCTAAGATCTTCATTGGGAGCTGTAAATTCAGGCAGTGATACATTGAACTCTATACATAGACAAAAATGAATTCTTCTCTGCCTCTATATCCATAAATTTCCTTCTCCTTTGTAAGCCAGTGCTGTAGTCCCAGATTCAATTAAAACAGTGATTAAAGTATCTGTAACTGCACACTCAAGCATAAGCTATAGCACACTCAACAGCAGAAATGCATGCCTGACGTACTTTTGTAAACCTGCTGCTTTCCCTTAGAAGCAGGTGAGCCAGTGTTTCATCTTAATGATGAACATGGACTGGGCTGAAACGTTATGTCCCAGGTGCGAGGAGAGCATGAGCAGGGATTTCTAAAAGCTGTTCACATGGAGTTCCTGCCCATTCGCCTTGCAAGGAGCACACTATTTTTCTCATTCTTGAGCACACTGCTGCCAAGGTACGAAACCAGGACTGGAATTTTCAGTGTTGTGCAACGTTGTACTTACACTGTGAGTTTGAGTGATTGGTATTTGCAATGCCAAGGGGTTTTCTTCTAATGTTTCTTGTATGTGTGCTAATGGTTGTCTCCAAGCTACACCATTTGCTTAATTGAGATCCTGCCTTGGTGCAGAAATGAGAGACATACCGTATTTGTGGGTCTGTTTTGTACCACTGGCAGCAGTGGGAACTGTGTCAGTAGTTTCAGAGGGAAGGGAATTAGGACCTGCAGAACGATGTAAGTTTTATTGAATACTAAATAATGGTCCTTAACAAGGCAAAATAACTCTTCTCTTTCTTTCTTTCATTACTTTTCTGTTCCTTTGCCTTTGTCCCCACCTTTTATCTCTTATTTTCATAATCATGAGAAGCCAAATTAATCTCAGGTATAAGGCTACCAAACCAGCTTTGAATTTCTTTGACTGTTCTGACTCTTTATACTTTGAGCCCAGCAACGAGGGCCAGAGGCTAGCTAGATCTTACCAGCTGAGGTATTGGGTGGCTCATTAGTTTGGCAAATCCATCTCCCGTTCAGCCTCAGATGTCCACATGTAAAGACACATCCTCTTGTATCATGGCAGGTCTCCATTCACTCATGAGTCATCTTAATTTCTTTCGGTATTAGGTATGCTACAGGTCATATTCTTTGCTTCCAATAAAAATCACTTACTCTCTCTTTGTGTCATCAAATCCTGAGAGATTAGGAGGGGAGCCAGAAGAAGAGGTTCAGAAGTAATCCTCCACTCAGAGAAGTAAAGCAATAAAATAGGGTGCACAGCTGGCAAAACTGGAGACAAAAGGAGAGAAGGATAAAAAAAAAAAAAATCTCCAGAGTATAAGACTACAATTGAGGAATAAAAGTAGTTTCCAAGTAACTGAATAAAAGGGAGGCAGAAGTTAAAATAAGGAAATTCTAAATCCACATGGACAAACTAGAAAACCAGGCTTAGGAGCAGTAAAAACAGATGATAAGCAGAAAAAGCAAAACACACCAAAAATTCCTATCTGTTAGCCAGAAAAAATGATCAGCATAACAACTTGACATGCTTTTCAAATTTTTGAAGGAAGGAAAATGGCAACAGGAATCGTGAGGGGAACAATTTTAGAAACTCATAGTGGAAATGAAAGGCTTCTATTAAACAGTTTCTCTTTCTGCCTAATAATCTAAAAGTTTTGCTGTTCTAAATATAAACCAGGCAATATAAATTTACTTTCAAATGAGAGCAAACAAAAGTTATTTTAATGTATAAGTATTTGGATTGTGTATGTGGTATATGATGACTTTATTTTAAATAAAAAATCTGTCTCTGTGAAATCTCTGTACTTTTTGTTCTTTCGTAGCCAGGTAGGCTGTACTGCAGTATCTTGAGAGAGAGGTGGCAACTCTGTGCACTGCTGCTCTAGCGGAGGTGGAATGAAGTCTGAGGAGTCCCATCCTTGTGCTGACAACAGAACCTTGTACTGACAACAGAGCATAGCTATTCTCCTTTACCTCAACAAGAATTTGTATTCCTGGAGCAGGGCAATCTGGTTCTCAACCTTGCTGTACCCAGTACATTTTTGTCTACCTAGTAGTAACAAAACATAGGTTTGTAATATCCAGGTCACTCTCCTGTCCTCATCCATGGAGCTGGAAAATCTCTTCATGCTGGAAAGCAGCAAAAATATCCAGGTAACATTCAGCTTCAGCTCAGCTGCCTGGATTTCAGTCTTTAATGATGTGTATGCCTAATTTCCCATTATAGTCACTGGAGCCTACTCAGCTCACCATGTGCATTTATTTTAGGAAGAGCTGAATAGCTCTGTAGACTAAGTCTAGACTCTAGGCTTAGCTGCCTAAGAGCTCGATTGACTAGAGGGGAGTTCAGACACCTTGCTGATGTGTGGACACCTGGGTGTAGGAGCCTGAATCTGCACGCTAACATCCTGCTCGTTGGGTGACGTAGCCCGAGCAGAGCACTGGGAGTCCCCTGGGCGCGGGCTGGCTGGACATACGACGTGCCTGGCAGCTTGGGCCTCCTGCACTGGGAGGCTGCACGGTTCCCCCAGCAGTCAGCAGGCTGGTGAGCTTGGTGGGGTTCGTTCCTGCGCTGGGATCGAGTGTATAAGGTGTCTTGTGTAATGAAGAACTCGGCAGGTTCCACGTTACTCAGGACTGGTGGCTGTTTTATCTACGGAGGGAAAACATACTGGCTGAAGCCTCTGTGTTTTATAACCCCTGCACACACAACACCCCACTGTCATTCATCAGGCCTTCATCATTTCTGCTAAAAAAATAAGCTGGGCCATTGGAAAAAAATAAATAAAAGGTTAGGTAATTTGTTCTTATGAGGACTAATTATAAAATCCATGACTGCATTATTTAACATCCAGTTCACTTCAAGTCTATTGGCAATGCTCCCTACTGTATTTCCTGAACGTGTTCCTACAAAAATGTTTTCTGGAGGGGTGAGGGCTGACGCAAGGTGTTTGAAACTCAGCTGAGAGGGGAGAGTTAATTTTTGTATTTATGATGGTGAGTATTTGCTGCCATGTCAAACGGGACTCCTGACTTAAAGGATGTTATCTAGCTTATGAAGTACAAACAAATATTACAGGTCAAATTCCTGTTTTCATATTAAACCCATACCAAATTAAAAAAAAAAAAAGAACAATATTCTTGAGAAATCAAAAGTCCTGGAATTTTCCATGTCAAGCTGATCCGATGCAGACAGTATAGGCTAAAGAGACTTTCTGTGCTTGCGGTTTAAATAGGATGAGGTTAATATTGTCTTCCTAAATGTAATCTCTGTCTACAGTAATAGGATATGGTGCTTCTAATTTTAATTACAGAGATGGGTGGGTTGGATCACTAAAATTTAGATTTGGGTTAAGGTGTGGATTTATAGCCCTGCTCCTCCCTGTAAAAGCTGAGACTTCTGTGTCTGAACTCATCTTTTCAATTAATTCACAGTAATTAAAGGGTGCTGTGTGGGATGGGGCTAAAGAGAAACACAATTAAAATGTAATGCTTCTCCTTTGGTATCTGCATCCTTATTTATTTTAAACCATCTTCAATGCCCTGGTGAGTTTAAGTCTTCCTGTACCAGATACTGTGCAAGCAGAAATATGTGAGTGAACTGTTGCCAATGGCTCTGAGCAAGCGTGGGGCATGTTTCAGATTACACTGTGTTTTCTTGTTCGGATCTGATCTCCTTGCTAGGAGAGGCTGAGAAAGGCAGCTCTAGGGGATTTTCTTCTAGCAGCAGCACATGATCCATCAATCGCGTGATTCTCACCACCGAGGACTAATGGGGAGGGTGAAGGAAAAGCGAACGCTGCCTTGGGAAAGCAACAGCAGCTTCTTCTGCTCGTGGGGCCTCTCTGCCAGCCGGACACTTCATGGCTTCTCCCAGGTTAGAAACCTACTGCTGCCCGAACCGCGATGCCGCCACGCAGCTAGTGATGAACTTTGAGCCTGAAGTCTTCTGCGGAGTTTGCATTGGCAGCGCCTCTGTCAGTCTGCTGCTGACCATCCTGCAGCTCCTGCCGAAGAAGGGACAGAGCCCACGCAAGATGCCCAAAGCCTCCTCCTCTTCCACCATCCTTCTCCTTATCTCCATTTGTGACATCCTTGGTGGCTTAGGTAAGCACCAGCTTCATGTCCTTTGCTGTAGCAGGCTCTTGTTGCTCTGAGGTGAAGCTGGTGAGCGGACAACAGAGATTTTTGAGGGAAACGTGCTGTTTGTATTCACAGGAAGATGTGGGCTAAGTGAGATCAGAAAATGATGGGCCTTTGCGGGAGAAAGGTCTTGTTTAATAGTCATATTCTAGAAGTAGAAGCTCTTGACAAATCTACACCAAAATCCCAGCTTTACAACAAATTAAAATCCAGAGGAGTGGCTGGTTCTCAGAGTAAGGCATAAAAGTGGAGGTAAGGCATTTAAAACTGAAGCTGACATCAAGCACTTAGCCGATTATTTGAAAAACAATTCCTATATGTCTTTAAATCCTCGCAGACCAAGTTTGCTGTCTTGTTCATGTGCCAGCCACTTCTCTGGGCACATCACATCGACAGCAAACAAGTCAGAATTGCAGCTGTACACAGATCATGCTGGACACGGGCTTTTGAAATGCGAGAGAAGCTCCCTTATCAAGGACAACCTGCTGCCCGGCCCCTGGCTGATAGGCTGGAGGAATAAAACTACAGAGAATAAAACAAAAATCATGAGTCAAAATGGAACTAATGTGTCTAAATCTGTCCTGTCAGTCGATCGCATTTGCTGCCAAATTAGGTATAAATTACCATGACACATGCTATGAAAATACAGAATGAGTTTGTTTCTACAATAACATTTTTTCCCTCACATTAGATAACAGAAGTAGTGCTGTTCTGTAAGTCTCTCTCGCTGCCTCGGGAAGGAGTGGGATTTCAGGTATTTTCCCCTTTCATACGTAGCCAGGTTCTCTCACGGTACGTAATAAGTACCAATATTAAAACAAACGATAAAGGGAGAAATAAGAGAGAGATGGAAAAAAATGTGTGTGCATTCACCTGGAAAAGGTCCTTGCAGTCAGATGAGGCCAGCAATAGATAAAGTTATTTTTCTCCCTTTCTCTTTCACTGGAAACTCAAACTATTTATCCGTCATTGTCTTTGAATGAGACTTACTTTGGTGGGTGGGAAACCATTCTCTCCTGGTGGGAAATCTGATGGTTTTGTTCTGCTATATGTTGGTGTTTTAATGCCTATTTCAAGCAAAGCCAGAAAAGTCTCTCCAACAAACTGTAAGTTCATTTAAAAAAATGGGTGTTGTTCTCACCTAATTCTGAAACCCTGCTTTGTTCACTCCTGTGACAGAGAGGAAAAGAGCTGCTTGTAAAAAAGAAGACAGCGGGAAATAACTTTTTTCTGCAATGAGGGATTAGAGAAATGAACACTGGCATATGAACATATGCCGATAAGATTGTAAATATTTAGTTACTCTTTTATGCCAATCTGTTAAATGCTTCCCAATTTATTTTAGGGAAGTGCATGACAGTATCTGCAAGTAGAGTGAGATTTTAATGTACGTAACGTTTCAAGTCCCAGCAGCTTCAGACTGTTGGGGCTACTGTTCCTGAGCGATTACACCGACGTTTGAATAGCGCAGTTGTTCCTGCTGTGCTCCTCTGCAGCCGCAGCCTTCCTGTGGACGCACAAAATCTGGGCTGCCGTGTGAAATATGTGGCCGGGCAGAAGCATGTGACTCAAATCACGCCAGCAGATTCAAAGCATTAATACTTTTTTTTTTTTTTTCTTTAGGTATGATCTTCAGGTCAAGTATATGGCTAGGCTTCCCAGGCTTCATAGCTAACATTTCTGTGGTGAACCGGACCGACGTGTGGCCTTCTGCTTTCTGCGTGGGGAGCGCGGTACGTACAGAGATCGTCTCCCCTTCCTCCTGCTCCCGGCTGACAGTCCCCCCACGCGGGTGGCCTGAAGGCAAACCGCTGCGTCCAAGAGGAAATTCGGCTGTGAGTCAGAGCCTGGATATGATGGTTTCAGCCTCTGCCACACCCCTGCAAGTGCATTCATGCCTCCCTCCGAAAGCCTGGATCGGGGCGGGCAGGGTGCTAGATGCCACACGGCGCGTGTGAGGATGCAGGGCAGCGCAGGTCAGACCGGTCCCAAGCGTTTTGTAGTACTTGCTCGTCACAGGAGTGCTGGGGTAGTGGGGGGCACACCTGTACCAAAGTCAGGGCCACAGAGGCAGAAGGGTGTAGACATTTCTGAATGGGCTGCGAAACCACCGGTTTGGTTTGTGCTGGCACAGACAGCATCGCTAATCCGTAGCTCGAGGGTTCTGCCCACCTTCTGCAGCAGAAATTACAGCCTGCGTGGTGGCGGTGGGGACCAAACCAGCAACTCGGGTAGCTCACGTTAGCTTTTGCGGCGTGGGAGCGTGTGTTTTAGACACAGAGGGACTGTGGGATAAATATACCCAAAGACACAAAGCTGCTGGCAGAAGGTCTGTCCCTGCCGTGCAGGATCCCAGCTCAGATTGCTGCTTATATGGCTGTTCAATGACCACATCTGGCCAAGTCTAATTAAGTATCTTCTGGATTAAAACGCGAGAGTAACAAAATGTAAATGCATTCCAAAAGTGCGGATTAAAACTCAGTTTAAATTATTATAATCACAGTACTGTATGAGACACATTATTTGAGTTTACAACAAAAAAGGCCATGTTTTTTACCAAAACATGGAGAATGACAAGTAAGACAGATCGTCGCTTTACCCAAATTCAATAGGGTGCCCAATGAATTCATGCATGAGCAATAACAGAATTAGCTTTACAATTCAAAGTTTACGACACAGAAGAGGATATGCTGCATGTAAACAAAATTATTCGGCTCCAGTAGTTTTTAAATAAAACAGTATGTGCCACATTGAACTCACTGTACCTTATATGCCTATATAATGGCAATTCCAGACATGAGAGTGTTGTGCCATAGAAGCAAATATCAATTGTACGCATCTATCGATTCTCAGTTCCATTATACATCTTTAAGTTTTGCTTATTAGTTGCAAATCTTGATATTTTTTTTTTCTTTGAGAAAGAGGAAACCAGCAGTATCAATATCTTGTAGCAAGAACATCCTATTCAAAAACCATGTTTCCCTATGTCTTAAATTTCCCTTTCTGGCCCTTAACACAAAAAATAGTATTTTTAAACAGTGACGAAGATACTGTATGCAGACTGTTTGTTTTTCATTTGGATCTCAGGTTAGATGGTGAGCAGCATAGCGGTCTACCATGATTTTTATTTTCCCTTTCTTGGGCTCCAGCAAAGTGCTGTAATTTGAGTCACTTGCTAAATTTAGATTTAATTATATTGGAATGAAAAATAACCTTCCTTCCACTCACTTCCCCTAAAATATTCTCGTGTGAGTTAATAAAATGTTTCTGATTCTATTTTATTTTTCTTTTAGTACTATTGTTTTATTTCACTTAACCACAAGCCAATACCAACTCCAAATAGTGAGGCCTTGAGGCATCTCCTTTGAATAACACCTTCTGGTTTGCAGAGGGGTATTCTCTCAGCAAAAGATGTGTCCTTTTGCTAAAAAGTGAGATACCATATGAAGATTTTGGTTTTAAGTGCATCTGATTTATATTATTTTTGGAGGCTGTCTTCTCTATGTTGGATTTTTGGGGTGGAAAGACCTGACAGTTTATTTTTGAATGTGTGTGTACGTATAGTAAATTGTGCATTTTTTGACTGCAGCAAATATGTAAAAGTGCAAGCGAAGTTACATGCTCAGTGCTATAGATGAAGTGCATTAGAAGGAAGACTGGTATTTTACTTTCTGGCTCCTGTGCACTAGGAAAATATCACGGTGTTTGAATTAAATACCGACTAATTCGTGCCGCAAATGACTAGGGGTAGGGTCTACACCCATGGTGAAAGGAAATATTTCCCAGCTTGATTTGCCTTTTGGAGGAAGGAATCTCTACTCACTGATGTTTGGCTCAGTAACAAGTATGTTGGTTTCCAGCTGTAAAATGATGCTACCAGGGAGCCATGATAAAAGGATATTCAGACAGGAACTGAAAGAGGGCTTGGAGGGAAGGTAATCTGAATATTAAAATAGACTATTATTTAGACTATCCAGACTATTACAGAGAGTCAGCTCCTATAGGGAAGAAATTTGGAATTTATAAACAGCAGCAAAAATAGGTCACTTATATAGGCTCATGGGAAAAATGCATAGGGTCAGCTCATGAACGCAGTGGAATTTAACTTGACTTGAACCTGTTTCCTTTGGATTTTTGTTGAAGAAATCAGTCAGGGAGTTCAGTATGGATAATTTTTCCAGAGGGTGAGTGATATTTTTGTTAATGACGTTTTTTTCTTAATAACCGTTCCCTGAATCGGGTTCTTGTGCATGGAGAAAAAGCCCGTCACATGCAGAACCCACGATACATGGGCACGCTGCAGTGATGACTGACCTCAGTTATATTTTCATGCCTCAGCTACAAAGAAACTACTAAAATTTTAACCTAAAATTAAAACATCCTCACTATAAATTTCTTTGGGCTTTACTCAGGACATTGAGGGTTAGAACTGGAGAGGTAAATAACAGGTTTTCTGAACAACAGAATAAGCTATGAAAGCAAAAGCTGTTCAATTTACCTAAGACTTGACCCATTTGCTACAGCAATGGTCTTCCTGTGATATTGAGTAAGATTTAACACTTCATCATCTCGGCTGGAAAATATACACATTTAAAGAACAAGTCACCAGGCTAAAGGTTTGAGTCCCTCCCCTGTCCCCAGCGGTACTTGGGAAGCAGCTGTGATATTTGGCATTTTTTCCCCTGCAGATGTGGATCCAGCTATTATATAGCGCTGGCTTCTGGTGGTTGTTTTGCTATGCTGTTGACTCTTACTTGGTGGTAAGAAGATCAGCTGGACTGAGGTACCAGGGTTAAAGCTCTGAATTTGTTACTTTCCCTCCCACACTGTATGTCCATGTTTGTCTGCAGCTATCTAAATGCATAAGTGAAGCTTCTACAAACATCTGATGTCCATATGGTTACCAGGTAATGATATGGATGAGTGGTGTGCTAAGTGCTTAAATAGCCAGCGCAACGCTCAGATATTGATTTCTTTATGTCCAACTGGAATTTAAATGTAACTGAATTCATTTAACCTTTAGAAAAATAGGGAGCAGGTCAGGCTCTATAGACTTTATTGCAGCGAGATAAATATTTTTGTCCCTACTCCGTACCTGAAATTGATTCTTGTGGCAAAAAAAAAGTGTTATCCTGCAAATAAAAAAGTGGGAGGGGGAAAGCGCTGAATTTCATTTCGTTCATTCTCCAGGGTTTTTTTCTCAGATTTTCTCTTTTATGCACTTCTCGTTGTTGTCACTATGACGCTTCTGATTTGCAAAGTTTTTAAGAGGAATGATATGTATTTGCTATATATTTTTCTGCGATGCCTGTAACAGAAGAACCTAAGCCCTTTGGAAAGTACCATGCTTTAATGCCAGACAGAAAATATAAGGTGTTTCTAAGGTGGTTCTTAGACGGGCAAAATGACCTTCAGTTGCTACTGCTAAACATGGAATTATGTGTCTCTGTTCCCAGATGCTACTGAGCGATCATGTGCTGGAGACATGGTTCATGTGGCAGATGTTGTCAAAATGGGGATTTTTGAGTTAACTTTGGCCTGTGGAGGATAAGCCTGATTTTGTGAATTCCCATACTTATAGTCTGAAACAAACTGGGACCTACTTCTTTCCCTCATCCCTGTTAACAAAAAAAAAAATCAGGTGTATTTGGGCTTGATTCTAAGATAAGATTAAGCAATGAAGACTTTCTACACACAGAGATCTGAATCTCCCTGAGATGGGAGCAGTATCCAACCCTGAAAGTTAAACATAATTCTCTGCAAATTCCAGAAGGGTGGTTTATTTGACTGTTTTGCTCCATTCTTAAGTTTTAATCCCCTAATTTGCTCTCTGCAGGAAAAATGAAGGATGCAGGGGTTCCTTCTGGAGATTTGGGGATAAGTGAAAGGCTTTCCACCCTACAGGTTGGAGGACACAGGACTTCTGTGTGCAAGCCTCAAAAACTGCTTTGGGTCGTCCTTTTTCTGAAGGCCCCCCACACACACACTCCTGCTTTCCTTAGTTTAATGTACTGCCAGAGTCATTCCGCACCATTTCACATCTGTAAAGCTCTGTTTCAGTGAAGGTCCTGTTTTTATGTTGCAATGTGGAAAGCGTAAGGTTTGGTATCTTTAATTACGCCTGTCCTGTTTGATGCCTGCAGTACGATTGTGCTGTACCACATGATGACGTGGGGCCTCGCGGTGATGCTCTGCGTGGAGGGGATTGCGCTGCTCTACTACCCTTCTCTCTCCAGGTAAGCAGGGCTCTGGGAACAGCCTGAGAAATGGGGTCTTTTGCATGCCTTTCGGTCAGCTTTAGAGACAGATGCCCAAATGCTGGGCTTTTTTGATCCTTGACAAGTGTGTCCCACTGAGTCAGTGCGATCCTAGAAATACCTGCCTGGGTTTCGAGGGGCCGTGAAGAAATATACCCGGCACTACTGCAGCACTGCTACAGCCTCTGCTATGAGCCGCTCTTCTCCCGCTCCTGGTTTTAGCTTTGTATTTGTTCCTTTAAATTTGAGGAAAATGCACGTAATCAACTTTGTGTCCTGTGTGAACTGGTGGTGAAGGTCTGTGAATTAAAAGTTTAGCATCTGTTTGCTTCATTTCTTTGATTTTTTTAAGTTAAAGGTGACATAGGTAGAATAGAAAAAACTGTCAGATGTGGACAAAAAAAAAAATGCATAAGCTGTTAACGGTTTCTCCTCAGCTGTGAAAATGGCCTGGTGCATGCAATCCCACATTACATCACAACCTACGCCCCACTCCTGCTAGTGCTGCTGGTCAACCCAATCCTGTTTAGGAGGACATTATCAGCAGGTATGTTCCTAATGGCCAGCATCGATCAGTATGTGTTATTTAGCGACCTAACATAAAAGTATGTTGACTATACTATTTTCTATTTTCAGTGGGAATGAGAGAAGACAAAACACCTAGTGGGATATCACTCATTTTAGGAATCGATAAGGGATGTACTTCTTTTCCTTCAGTATTAGGCTATATGTGAGATCCCTTGATGATGGTCCTTCCAGCTTCTGAACTGCTGCTGGAGACAAACCCATCCCTTCCTTTGTTCCCTCTTTACAGGCATCTGTCTTCTGGATCCTTGTGCCTGTAACTAGCAAGATACATGTATATTAATGAACATAATTGTATACTTTCCAGTTGCCTCCTTACTGAAAGGGAGACAAGGGATTTACACAGAGAACGAAAGACGTCTGGGGACAGAGATCCAGATCCGCTTCTTCAAAATTATGCTGGTATTCATCATTTGGTAAGAGGTGCATTATTTTCTTTTAAACTGTCTTTTTTCCCAGCTGGAGAGGATCAGGGACAAGAACAGAGTCTGATGGGTTGCTTAATTTGTTTGTCTTTATGCTTGGAAGGGAAGGTGTCTAAGGAAGAAGAAGTTCTAAACTAGTTCACCAAGTAGCTGAATCACTCATGTAGCATCACAAGGCTGCGAGGAAATGATAAAAATGTTTAACCAACAGGAAAACAATAACCCCAAGAAACAATAGCCAAAAAAAAAAAAAAAAGAGAAGGTTGGGCATAGACTAAAGCTGTCTGGAACAGCAGCTCCCCAGCACTGTGGGCTGGTAGACAGCTTTCTGTACTCAAGATTTCTGAGACCCTCTTGTCACCAAACACTTCACTGAAAACCTACAATAAATATGTTTCTAAGACTGGCTTCATGGCCCTGACTATGATGATATAATGCAGCCACCTCTGTGGTCTGCAGATCCCAAGTGTGTGAAAAAAAGCATGGATATTGACTGGAAATATAAGGTTATATGCCAGAAAACAATATAATCGTGTGTGAAATTTCTGATCATTTAACTTTTTTAATTTTTTTTTTTTAATATTCCATCTTCCTCCATGAAAATAGGACTTTGGGGTAGGACAGGAAAGAGATAGGGAGGAGAGGAGGGAGGGAACAAGGAAAGTGGAGAAGGAGGGAGGCTACATGCCTCACCCCCAAATCGCTGTGCCTCTGCTCCAGCAGCACCATCCAGCGTGGAAGATTCTGGAGTGGCAACTGGAACTGGAGGTACTGGCTGCACACAGCAAAACTGACCTGAAGTAGGGCCTGCTTTTGGAGAAAATGGTTTTTACTGCAATCACGTAATTATCCCACAGCCATAAAGGCACCAGAAGGAGTGGTGATCTACTCCACAAGGGTCTGTGCAATGACCTAGCAAGAAGCAGTCACTGCTGAGAAGCATTTAGTACTTACGTGGGTAACGCAAGCAACAGTGGGAGGAAGGAAATGGTCCTGGAGCAGTGGAATGACTTGGCCAAGCTTAACAGTCTCGACAACTACTTAACTTTTTTATACATGGGTACATTAATGCATGTTACATTGCTTTAAAAGGCTGAGCAGGGAGAAAGACTGCCTTTTTATTTTCTCCTGGCTGCTGTATACTGGAGTGCTCTGGAGGGAAATTATTGTGTTTTCTTGGGGAATAACCGAGTCCGCTTGGCTTGGGAGAGAGGTTTCTAGTGCGAAGGGTGGGGGAGCCAGCAGGGGACGGGGTGAGAGACAGCCGCGAAGGATCCTGCAGCATGGCTTCCTGGAAACTGCTGAAATAACGAGGAGCAGAGATTTAGCCAGGCTTCCAGGGCTGTGGAAGGAAAGAGCCCAGAGGCCCCACAGAAATGTGTTGCAACCTAAGGAATGGTGGCCAGCTTGCTGGGCTGGGAGCAAGCGTGAAAGAAAGGCCCAATTCCCCAAGGGTACAGTGGGGACATTTGTTTATTTCCATTCTGTCTCATTCTGGGTTTTCCTGTTCAAAAAAATAATTACAGCTCTAGTTTTGGATTTTGTTCTCCTAATAAAACATAAGCTTTAGAGTGTAAAAGCTCTCTCAAAGGTTACTGAAAAAACGCAGTCCCATCTCAGAAGCTATGGGAAGATTCCCTTCCATCCGAAAAGTCAAATATGAGATGAGTTAGTCAAAGACAGCAGGTTGGGGCAACATGGGGTAGAAGAGATGCCTGCAGATTTGGGAGGGGAGAGCAGAAGGTTTTACACTGTGATAAAAATATAATTGCAGGAAGGACATGTATAAACCCCTTTAGAAAGCATGACATGGATGCTGATGGTTTCCTCTCTGAAGCCACAGTAGAATTATAAAGAAATGCTGCTCTGACTGTTTAGAAGTCGTAAGAAGTAACAGCCATTTGCTATAACCTTTATTTAGTGTAGAATATCCTGTTTCTTTCACAGCATGAGGCTTGATTATGTTCATCCTTCTTTGGAAACAGAAATTACCTCTATTCCAAAAATCCGGTGGCATTTTCAAGGGTTTTAAAGTCAACTTTTGTTTTGCTTTGTAGTTTTTTTATGGACATTTTGAAAGTCTGCTGTAATCTAACCCCGAAATTCTAACCTGTCTGGAGCTTCTGAAGCCTTTTATAACACGTATGACTGTATTTGGTTTCCTTATCTGTGAGCACTATCCTTTTAAGACACAAACAAAAGAAGTCAGCATGTATGATGTTCCTGTTATGGATTGCAGTTGTTTATAATTTCAACTTCATCCTGCAATTTACTGTTCTGCAGCAAGCTCAGATGATCAGATTCTGGGGGTTCTGTTGTTGTTGTTATATTGATTTCTTTGTCTGGGCCTGGGCTAGTAGGTAAGCGTCTGGTTTTTGATCATGATCTCAGAGACCTACTGGTCCCTTCAGACTGCGACTCAACATTAAAAAAACCATCTCACTCTCCTTATTAGTGATCCTAATTTCTATAATTTGAAAGTAATGTATATTTTACATATGCATACATATGCATATATACATAACTGTCGTCTTCTTTACTTCTGCAATAGCTGGTCATCCAATATCATCAACGAGAGCCTTTTGTTCTATCTCGAAATGCAGCCAGATATCAATGAAATGCCCCTGAAAAACATCAGAAGTGCTGCACTGATCACATGGATTGTAATGGTAGGTCAGCCATGGCATCGCTTCGTCTTAGAAATCACTTCTTTTATAAGACTGGTGGAACAGCACCAGTGTAGCGAGCGGTTTAGGATCTGTGGGGACATAAACACTCTGAAAATCACAGAAGGAAAGCAGAAAGTAAACGAGAGGAAGGAGCGGTCACTGGGAATGCTTTTCATATGTAAACTTTCCCAAAAATGTACCAAAGGCCAACTTTTTCTCCCATTTACTATAGTATACATTGTCTGAGTGATTGCTACCCATTTTAAGATCCGGAGCAGATCCCTACAGTGATTTCTAGTCTGACCTTGCTAACCTCTGCCATAATGCAAGCTACAAAGTTTTAGCTCACCATTCCTGAAGGTTCCCCAATAAAATGGGCATTTTCTGGTAATTGTCTGTTTGTAACTAGGGTTTTCTTTATTATAAAGAATAATTGCATCTTCTATCATGACATTTTGATAATTATTTGGGGACAAATACATGAGAAATCTTGAAAGCAATGCACCAAAAAAATAGCTGCAAGATGCTGGCCTCTCACTGTACCCTACCCTCCTTTCTCCTACTGGAATATTTGACAAGGGATTTTTCAGAGGTGATATTGCAGGTTCCTTTTCCAAGAGAGTTTGTTCTGAAGCTATTAAATACCTGTAAGGCCTGATCATGTTTCGTGTAGTTAAGCCCTTGAGCAGCTTTGTATTGAAGGGTTAAGGGATGCAGCTGATTTGACACAACCTCCTCCTCTGACAAGGAGTGAACACATTCATGTGACAGGGACCTTCCTCTTGCTCACCTGGGTCTGGGAACTGAGCTATTTTTTAAATTGGCTGTAAAAATAGTTTGATGTTTTCTCATGAGAAAAATGGAAACAGCTAAAGCCATTTACTTGCCAAGCATCCCACGGCACTGGGAACAGAGACTTTTTTTTTTTTTTTTTTTGAATCACTTGGGATTTTCTTTTTCAGTGTCCCTCCCTGTTTTTCCATCCCACTTTGATGGACATTTTCACTGGCTCAAGAATCTGCAGCAATTCCAGACAGATCAATTCCTGCTATTTTAAAAAACTTAACTGTGTATGCTAGTGTGTACTCTCATATATTTGACTTGGCTTCTAGTGAAAAATATAATATTTGCTTTTGTGAATAAAAAACTCCAGACCTTGTGGGGAAAGTTAAAAACACACCGGGGGATTGACCAGCTAAAATTCATGTTGGAAAACCCTTTGGCACTTACTGTTCACTGGGATGGTCTTGGCATATTGGAACAACAGGTCGTGGTATTTCACTCTGATTTGTTTGTGTCAGCAATGGGAACAACATACATTTTTATTTGCGTGCAAATAGCATATTTTAAAGACAGCAATTGTTCGTGAAGGGGAAGTTGTTAATGCACGCAAAGCGTTTTGCTGAAGTTGAAAACGGAGCCTTGCTGGTGTAACTCCCGTTGCACTTCTCTTTCCTAGGGGGTTCTTAATCCAATGCAAGGCTTCCTCTTCACGTTAGCTTTCTATGGCTGGACGGGATGGAGAGTGGACCTGAAATGGCGAAAAAGAGAAATAACCTGGGAATCAATGTCTTCATCAACTGTGGGAGAAAATGCCTATCCCTCACCAGTGAACTACCAAAGCAACCTCCATGATTCGAAGAAGATATCAACAACTGACAGCCAGCAGACTGATGAGGCCATAAGCATGTTGTCTGAAGGTAACACCAGTGGTGATGACAGATTAACCAGGAGCTCTCCCATCTACCAGGGCTGGTAGTTTATAGGCGCAGCGCTGGATCCCACTTCTCACATCATCAAGACTCACAAAACCACGTCACTGTGTGAACAGTTGCGTACTCTGGAATTAGGTTTCTGCCCAGTGCCTTGATGTCATTTCCTACAACTTGAATGTGTGTGACACAGAGAGCGTGTGAGATGGAGAGATATTATGGTTTATGTCTTTGTTTGCCTTACAGGAGATGTGTTAACAGATATAAAGGCCTGATCCTTTTTCAGCAGG